CAGATCATTTCTTTTCATTGATATCATTTCTTTGATTTCTTTGTTTTGATTTGATAAAATAAAAAATGACAAATGTCAAATATATTTATGTATGGGTATGTATATATAATTATTTGTTTTATTATTTCTGCCCTGTTATTTTTTCTTTCCTTTTTTTCTCTCTCTCAAACATTTTTTGTTTCATGATGTATTGGCAACTATTGACATTCATTGCTATTACTGTTATTAATATTATATTTTCTGTTACTTATGTTAAGGGTAACCTAACAGACTTCGGTCTCGGGTCTCCTAGTAATTAACTTGTCTTTTGCTGAATAAAAGTTTCTTTCGATTCAATTCAATATATATATATATATATATATATATATATATATATATATATATATATATATATATATTTAGGAACGAGGTTTTCAGAAATGAAAATTTCATTGAAATTGTTTGCCCATTTTGCATTAATTCTTATAAAGAAGTTAATTAATGCAAAATGGGCAAACAATTTCAATGAAATTTGCATATATATATATATATATATATATATATATATATATATATACGTATGCATCTGTTTCTAAGCATTTGGGGAGCGCCCCTATTGAATAACTTCAGAAGCGCTAGCTTCACTCGAGAATGTCAAAACAAATGATGTTTCAAACGTTTCTTGAAAATATGTCGGCTCATGTTGTTGAATTTATTCAAATTTACAGGTATAGAGTTCCAGATTTTTGCAGAAGAAACAGAAAATCTTCTCTTTCCAAAACGAGGCGAATTGAATCTAGGAAGCATAAGACCACCATTATCGCAGGATTTCAGTCGACTCCGATTTGCAATTTCTGAAACTAACTGTTGTTGTTCCGTCAGATAAGTTGGACCGTCACCAGACCACTCTGACTAGAAGAGCTAGTTTGAAAACGATTCTTTCTGGCATGCGGAGCCAGTGTAAATCATCCCTGATGTATGATGAAATTGGATCGAATTTCGAAAAACCAGCAACCAGTCGCGCTGCAACGCTCAGAACAGACTGCAAATCATCACGGAGGAATGAGTTGACACCAAACATAATCGCATTGCTTCCACAGATAAAACTACAAACGTGTGCTTTTGTTGACTCAACTGTCAAAAAACGTCTGATGGATCTTATTCTGTAGAGTTGCTGACAGAGTTTACTAATAGGCTTTTCAAATGAAAGATGAGGATCCAGTATGACTCCAAGATTCGTTACTAGATTTTTGTAGTCATTTAAACGGCTGAGGCCATGCGGCGTTCCCATCTACAAATATTGAATTTCTTGACGTTGACTTTAAGCATGTTAGATGATATCCAGCGACCAACCAAGTCCACTGCATTTGACACAGCAGAAGAGACTTGAAGTGATGAGTCAGGTAGTCCAAATCCGTAAAGTTGAATATCATCAGCGTATAGATGACAGCCAAGGCCGGCTGCTTCGACGACGTTGGTGATATCTGCAGTGTACTTGGTGTATAGCAAAGAACCAAATACTGAACCTTGTGGTACTCCGCAGATCAATTTTGAAGAAGCCGTGCCTAGACCACTCCCATCAGCGCTGACAACTTGAGACCTGTCTGTTAAGTAGGACCAGAAATACCTGAGAGCATCTCAACCAATACTAAATGAAGTAGAAAGACGCTTCAATAAACATTAGAGGAACCAACAGCACTGGCATGTGTCCCAAATCAGCTGGGGCAATTGTTAAAAAAAAGTTTACTTTGTAAGTAATCTTGCTGACACAGTCAATAATGAAACTTTGACAAAATACTTGAAAACAAATAAATTTAAAGTAATCAGTTGTTTTGAGGCAAAGTCTTATCTGGGAAAAGGCTTCAGAATGTGTATTGACATCAATAATTCAGATAGCACTTTCACAGATTCTGCTCTCTGGGATGAGGACACAATCATTCGTGAGTGGGTCTTCAAACCAAACAATAATATTGACAAAAAGAATAAAAATGAAATTAACATTGATGGCAAAAATGAAGTAACTTTAAAGATTAAACAAAAACATGATGAAAAACACACAAAGCAAAAATAATATATTAGATAAAAACCTCAGTAACAACGACTCAAATTATTACACTGTTGAGGAATTTTCTAAAAATATGCTTGAATTACAAAAGCATATCGGCAGTGATTTTTATCTCAATATTACATTTAAATGCTCGTAGTCTGTTTCACAAATTATTGAATCTGGAAATTTTATTGAAACAATTTGATTTTATCTTCAAAATTATTGTAATATCTGAGAGTTGGTTAAACGATGAAACGGTTGACTTAATTAAATTAAATAATTACAATTTCGTATACAAGAATAGAAGAAATAGACGTGGAGGCGGTGTTGGAATGTTTATAAAGGATGATGTAAAATATGTTGTAAATGAAAGCAACATATTCGATGATGACAACGTTGACATACTTTGCGTGGAATTTAAATTCCATCAAGCCTCACTACATTACCAAAGTCGGATCCAGGTCATCTAGTAAGGGGGGGGGGCGATTTTTATCCATCATGGCAACCCACAACTGCCTGCAAGGCGGGCAAGCCCACAAATAAAAAAACGTTTAAATTATTTTTCAATTTGCCCTTTAAATAACAATCTATGTGACTAAGACATTACGGCATATACGTCGCGATCGTATCAGCATCGGAAAAGACGGTGCAAGTGTGCACGCACGCGGTAGCACGCACCCCCGTATCATGTCAGTAAACTTAAATCTCTGTTCTATTAAAAAGAGTGATGTAGTAATCATATTATTTACTACGGATCCCATTATTGTAGTGTTAAGTAATCCTTTAAAATATGCACTTTGTTATTTTTTAATTTTATATCACTATTCACTTTTAAACAGTCTAACTTTCGTTTTCAAGCGCCATGATTGTGTATTGTGTTGTGTTACTTAAAAACGACAAAAAAAGTAAATACAAGTTACTCTTATATTAAAACATTCATCAATTATTGTTTATAATACTATAAAATATTAGGAACAATTACAACAAACCAATATCATCGGAAGAAAATGAAGAGAACAAATTTTTTACAACCACAAAGTAGTTTGGATTCATTTTTTGTGACGTTGAAGAGAAAAAAGTCTGTTGAAGCATCTACAACTAATTCTACTGTCACTACTGAAGTTGGTGGAACAACTGAACTTCCACTTCCAACCACACCAGCAGAAGCTTCAACAAGTAATAGTATTTCTACTGAACATGTTGAACATGAGATAAAAGAAACAAGTTATAATATAGACAGCAACAGTCGGAATATGAATGTCAATTCAGTAGTCATAGCTCATGATAGTCTTTTTTCTGAAAATGAACAGATTTCAACTGAGACTGGAACAGCTGAAATTAGTAATATAGTAAGATTTTAAATGCTGGGTTTATCAATGATATTGGAAAATTTGTTGGAACATTTATGGATGATTTGACAAAAAAAAGTCTGTTAGAATCGCCATGGAGGCCACCAGCTGACTACAAAATGCCACATTCACTTCACAAGAAGAAAAATAAACAAGAAAAGCGATATCTTAATCATTTTCATCTGGAAAAATATGAATGGCTAGTTTATTCAGATAATAAAAAAGAACTGTACTGCAAATATTGCTCATTATTTTCATACCACCTGACTGCATGATCTCACAAACAAATGGAACTTCAGAAGCTTGTTAAACAACCATTACAAGTGTTTGCTAAACTGTTTGGCAAAGATGGAGATTTAACAATGCATGAAAAAGCAACATACCACAAGAAAGCTGTTGAAGCAGGGAGGTGTTTTTAAAAAACTATAATGAACCAGCAATAAATATTGCAAACAGAGTAAATGCTCAACGGCTTCAGCAGGTTTTAGAGAATCGTCAGAGATTGATACCTATTGTGGAAACAATTATATTTTTAGGAAGGCAAAATATTCCATTCAGAGGACACAGAGATGATGGCAGTATATTAGACAAAGATGATGAAGATTCTGATGTGATTAAAAATGAAGGTAATTTCCGAGAATTGCTAAAATTTAGAGTAAGCAGTGGAGATTCAAATTTAGAAAATCATTTAAAAACGGCAAGAGCATCAGCAACCTATATTAGCAAAACCACACAAAATGCGTTAATTAAATGCTGTGGGGAGGAAATATGTGAACAAATTTTGAGTCGCGTTAGAGAATCAAAGTATTATGCTATTATGATTGACGAAACAACCGATGCATCACATAAGTCGCAAATGACTATAATATTACGTTACTTGCTGCCTGATGGATCAGTTCGAGAAGGTTTTGCAGGATTTATTGATCTACATGACAACAATTATTATCAATCTGATATTACTGCATCAATTGACACTGAACCTATTCTTGACGGCAAAATTATTGGTCAATCGGTTATAAACATGTTTGCAAACAAGTTCCACCTTTCTCTAGAAAACTGTGTTGGCGTGGGAACAGATGGTTGCAGTGTTATGTCTTCGTTACAAAAAGGAGCAGTAGTTGAAATTCAAAAGGTTGCAGTGAATGCAGTCTGGTGTCCTTGTTATAACCATGCTTTAAATTTAACTTTATCAAAAAGTTCGAATGTACAAGAAATTGTTTGGGTGTTATTAGTGAATTAGTTGCTTTTTTCAATGCTTCTGCAAAACGAAATTTTATAATAAAGAACATGATAAATTCACAACTGGTTTCACTCTGCGAAACACGATGGGTTGAGAGACATGATGCATTGCTGATGTTTAGTATTGAACTTCCACAAATAATTGATGCGCTAAAGAATATATCTAAATGGAATGACAGAACAGCTTCATCAAAAGCAACAACTTTATTAACAGCAATTAGAGAAAGTGATTTTATTGTGTCCTTAGGCTGTGCTGTGCATGTATTCTCTCTAACAAAGGGCCTCAGTGAATTGTTTAAAAAAAAAGTTTAAATTTACATGATGCAGAAAATTGCATTAGAGACCTGTTAAATGTTTTACAAAAAAAGAGAGAAAACTGCGAAGAAATGTTTTCAGAAATTTTTAGAGCAGCAGAAAAAATAATAATTGAAAAAGATGGCACTTTTACCTACAAAAGATTTGTGCATCGACAGACATGCCGTGAAAATGTACCTTCTGATTCATTGGAAGAATATTACGGGCGATCAGTTTACATCCCTCTTCTTGATGCACTGATATTGGATATAAATACTCGTTTTTCTAAAGAAAATTTGCAGTGTCTCCAAATCTATTCTTTGATGCCAGAAAATATTATTAAACTAAATTATAAAGATGTCGTCGAATCTATTTCAGCAATCAGTAATTTCTATGGTACCATTCTTGGACTTAGTACCCAACTTGAATTTATATCGGAAGTTGAATTGTGGCAGAGCAAATGCTTTAGAATGAACAAGGACGGAGGAGGAGTCAAATCACTGACTACTGATCTTTCTGTTGTTTTTCATTTGTGTGACCCCGTACAATATCCAATCACTCAGAAGTTGTTCCGTATTATTAAAGCATGTCCAGTTAGTGTTGCCAGTGCTGAACGTAGCTTATCAACTCTGCGAAGAATTAAAACATGGCTAAGAACACGAATGACAGAAGACAGACTAGTCGGATTGGCACTACTTAATGTAAACAGAGACGTTTTAGTATATGTTGAAAATGTAATTGAGCGATTTGCGAAGTCAGGAAATCGTAAAATAGAATTTGTTTTAGAAATTGTTATTAGTCAACCTATCAAGGTAGCAGGTACCTCGCTAGTCTAATAAAATAAATAAACCCATTTTTTAAAACACTTATAGGATTAAAAAAAGGAAAATAATTTTATTATATTTATGTATGTACTCATATGTATATATTGACTATGTTTGATCCAAATCATTACATTTATTGTTTTATGACTTAAAAGTTGAAAGTTTTTGATGACATTGCATGCTTTCTTATAAACAGTAATAAAGAGTTGACAAAAATAAACTAGAAATTTTTCTTTTTTTTCAGTAGGGGGGGGCGGGCGCCCTCATCGCCCCCCCCCCCTATGGATCCGCCACTGTACATTACATGATCAAAATAATTGCCATCTATCGACCACCTAGTTATAAATATGAGTCTTTTTTAGAAAAAATTGAATCGATACTAAATAGTTTAAATCCATTTGATAAAACTTTCATTGTCGGTGATTTTAACATTAATCTAATGGATAAAACCTCCAAAGATTTTCAAAATTTACTTTTGTCGCATTACTTCTTACCTTTGATTGATTTACCAACTAGGATAACTAATAACTCAATTTCACTAATAGATAATATATTTTTTAACCCAAATCAACAATGTTATAATGGAATAATAATATCAGACTTTTCAGATCATTATCCAATTTATACAGTTGTAGAAAATACAGGATTTGTCACTACAGATACTCTGACTTTGAAAAGGAACATAAATAAGAGAAACATTTCCCTAATTAAGGAAGCTCTATCTTCTGAAAAATGGGAATCAATAACGGATGGGAGTAACATTGACACCTGTTGCATGAATTTTTATAATCAATTAAATAGAATTCTTGATACTTATGCCCCATTGCAACCGCTGAAACGGAAAAATAAAAAGCCATGGGTAAGTATTGAAATAATTAAATTATCAAAGAAACAGATTAAACTCTATAAAAAAACAATTTCAACACCTACTACAGAGAATATAAATAAATATAAACGATTCAGAAATTATTTTACATCATTTAAACGAAAGGAAGAAAAAAATTACTTTAGTCAAAGATTTAATTATGCAAAAAGCTGTTCAAAGAAAAAATGGGAGATAATAAATAGTATAATGAATAAAAATCAACAATTGAATGATATCAATAAAATAAAAGTCAACAATAATAACATAATCGATAATGCAGAAGAAAGGTGTAACTGTTTCAATGAATATTTTATTAAAATTAAGGAAAATTTGCTTGAAAATCAAACAGTTAATGAATCTTCAAAAATAAACAACTACATTTGTAAATCCATATACATTAACTCCACTGATGAACTTGAGGTGTTAACAGTCGTCAAGAATCTTAGCTATAAAAAAAGCACCTCTGATGACTCATTAAGTAATTATCTCTTAAAACAAATCATCTCAGAAATTGTACATCTAATAACACATATATTCAATTTGTCCAACAATCAAGGAATATTCCCAAAATGCTTCAAAACATCAAAGATAATACCTATTCATAAAAAAGGATCCAAGATGGAAATGAACAATTACAGACCAATATCCCTTCTTTCACCTATTTTTAAAGTACTGGAAAAAATTATATTTATTAGAATACCTTCAATCTTGAACATTAATAATTTATTAAATAAAAATTAATAAGGATATAGAGTACAATATTCAACACAACTAGCAGTACTGCATTTAGTACAAAACATATTAAATAATCTGAATAAAAAAATCCTAACCATAGGTGTTTTCATAGACTTGTCCAAGGCATTTGATGTTATTAATCATGAGATATTAATAAAGAAATTATACTCTTATGGAATAAGAGTAATGGAAAGGCAGCAGGGCCCTCTGGACTCACAAATGACATTATCAAAGCATCTGGTACTGCAGGTATCCAAACGTTATTACAACTATGCCGTGAAATCTGGAGAAATTGCTCAATGCCGACTGAATGGAACTATAGCATGACAGTTCCTCTATACAAAGGCAAAGATGATCCATTGAACTGTCCATCATATCGGGGTATACGTCTGTTAGAACACTCCCTGAAAATTGATGCAATTCACATCCTTCGGCAACTGCAAGAGAAGTACCTCGCAAAGCATCAACAACTATCACACATTTTTGTAGACCTTGAAAAAGCATTTGATCGAGTTCCCCGTGAAGCAATCAGGTGGAGTCTACGTCGACAACTCATTCCAGAATATCTTGTTCGACTTGTGATGGAAATGTATACGAATACTAAGACTCTTGTTAGCACAACGGTTGGAAACACAGATGCATTTGACATCGTCGTTGGAGTTCACCAAGGCTCGATTCTCAGTCCACTGTTATTTATAACTGTGATGGAAGAAATCACAAAACCGATACGCACTGGTGACATTTGGAATCTAGTATATGCTGATGATATTGTTTTAACAGCCACTTCTGAACAGAGTGCAGCACAGATGTTTGAAGATTGGAACACTAGACTTGCCGATCATGGATTCAAAGTCAACATCAGCAAAACCAAAGCAATGAACACTGGTGAACCCATCCAATCCACAGCTACTGGACGAAGGCCCTGTTCAGTTTGTAAAGCTGGTGTAGGTAACAATTCAATCAAGTGTCAGCAGTGTAACCAGTAGTGTCACAAATGTTGTTCAAAAATAATTGGTACTTTATCTAAAGTGTCCAATTTTGCTTGTCCTGCTTGCATCAATCCACAACAACAAATTCGAAATAGCACTGTTTTTGAAGCCATTAAAATAGAGAAAGTCACATCGTTTCAATATCTAGGGGATGTTCTGGATTGTACTGGAACAGCTGAAGCTGCCGTTCGAGCACGCATACGTGCAGCCTGGAATAAATGGCATCTCCTTGCCTCTATATTGATGCGGCGTGACGTCCCACTACCACTACGATCAAGACTTTATAAATCTGTGATACGTCCGGTCTTTTTATATGGTGCAGAAACATGGCCAATGACAACCAAACTGGAACAACAACTTCAACGAACCGACATGAAAATGCTCCGATGGATGCAACGAATTAGTCTGAAGAACTACATCAAATCTACCGAAATCCTGCGTCGTGCTGGTTTAGATGATATAAAGGACGAATGCCGGCAACACCGTCTGCGGTGGTTTGGTCATGTCAAACGAAGTGGAAACAGTGCCATAATTTCTCTTGCAGATGTTGAAGTACCTGGCACACGTCCCAAAGGCCGTCCAAAGAAGTCCTGGTCGCAAACAATCGAGCAAGACATGAAAGCTCTAAATTTAAATGAAATGGATACAACCTATCGTCTAATTTGGCGAAAAAAGTTGATGGTAAAGAAAACAACGTCCTACCTCGGGAAACCGGGTCTCTGGACGCAAAACGAAGATTGATTAATTGATTGGAATAAGAGGAATAGCACATACATGGTTCATAAGCTATCTGCAAAACAGAAATCAGTATGTGTCGATAAAAAATAAATCTTTAAATAAATTAAATATAACTTTAGAGGTCCCGCAAGGATCAATTTTAGGCCCACTTCTATTTATAATTTTTATGAATGATTTTCATCTGGCTACTGACGCTCATCATCTTCTGTATGTAGGTGATACTAACATTTTCTTCCCAACTAGCAATCTATCAAACAATGTTAGAGATAATTAATAAAAGTTTAGATGATGTTTCAAATTGGTTCATCAATAATAAACTAATTGTAAATTTTTTTATATGCAACTACATTCTAATCTGTCCAAAAATATTGACTAACACAATACCTGATTTAGATATAAAAATAAATAACCATAGCATCCCACGCACATCCAGCAAAAAATTTCTCGGAGTGATCAAAGACAACCTCTCGTGGGATATGCATATAGACTCGTTATCGAAAAAAATTAATAAAACCATAGGTGCAATTAATAAAATTAAAGTAAGATTGAATAAACCAACAATTATAGATTTGTATTATTCATTAATCTATCCACATCTAATATACTGCAACATCATCTGGGGAAACAGCCCTGAAGTTCACTTGAATCAAATTAACAGATGTCAAAATCGTTTCATCAGAATTCTATTAAATCTACATCCATATAGTCATGTCAGATGTTATTATCCTGAACTGAAAATTCTAAACATAAAAAATTTGTATAATTATCATGTTTCTATCTTTGTGTTCAAGTTCCTACATTATCAATTACCAACATCTTTTAATGACTTCTTCGAATTTAGAAATGCTGTGCAGTCAAAGTTCACTCGACATTCTCCTCTGCTCTATACACCACCTGCAAGAATAACACTGCTTGGGGAAAGTTTAAAACATACCGGTCCCGGAATCTGGGAGAAACTTCCTGTTGATATAAAGACTACAAATTCCTTGCATTTGTTTAAAAACAAAATAAAGAAATATTTATTGAAAAAAGTACAATTTTTATTTAATTAGAATCATGTAAATTGTGAATTATGTTAATTTTTTCATGAGTTATAAATTTACTTAAAAAATTGTGTTAGAATGAACAATTTGTGAACGGTGGCCTGCGACACAAGAATTTTGTTTTCTTTTACAGCTTTGTAGCTTTGGTCTCCTAATCATTACCTAATTATTATTAATTTGGATTGATTGAATAAAGTTTGATTTGGTTTGATATATATATATATATATATATATATGCAAATTTCATTGAAATTGTTTGCCCATTTTGCATTAATTAACTTCTTTATAAGACATTCAACGAGGCGGTATTGTTTGAGTTCATATTTATCTAAAACTGGAATAAAGCTAACAGCGCTGTTTCGGCGTAATGCCATCTTCAGAGCCTAAATATTGTTTAAACATATAATTTAATTAAAGTAAATGCCTAATGTAAAATGTGAAAATATAGAAAATAAAATATGTATTAAATTGTGAAATAAATTAACCTTGTTGTAAATATCATAATAACTAAAGTTTATGTAGATTATATAAATAAAATAATGTAATTTAAATAAAATGTTTAGTAAAATAATTAAAATATAGAAATTTTATAAAAGTTTTAACATG